ATGGGGCTCTGTGCTGACAGCCTGGAGTTGCCTCGGATTCTGTGTCTCCCTGTCTCTCTGCCTTTCTGCTTGTGCTCTGTCTCCTCTCTCTCTCTCTCTCAATAATAAACATTAAAATAAATAATAAATAAAAAGTAAGTTAAAATTTTAACAACCCCAACAGATTTCCTTTAACTTAGCAAGTTCCTTTAATGCATTTAAAATAAGATACAAATTACTTTAATATATATATATATATATTTAAGTTTATTTATTTATTTTTGAGAGAGAGAGCACTAACAGAGAGAGAGAGGGAAAGAGAGACTCTCAAGCAGTCTCTGCACTGTTAGCGCAGAGCCTGATGCAAGGCTCAATCCCATAAACTGTGAGATCGTGACCTGACCTGAAATCAAGAGTCGGATGCGTAACCAACTGAGCCACCCAGGTGCCCCAAGATACAAATTATTTTAAAATATACTTATATACACATTTTTTCAGAATTATAATTGTACAATTATTAACTATGTCCCATATTCTTAAAGAGCTTGTAATGTAAAAAGAGGAAAAATAGATTAAAGAACGTTTTTTTAAAACAATCCCCAGGCTACAAAATTATAATAATTTTGTCTCATCTGTCTTTATAGACCTCAACATTTTTTTTCCTTAACAACAATTTGGAAACTATTTAGTAGGTCTGTTTCTTTACAGGACTTTAGATAGGCCACAGCTTGTGGAACTTCCTGGATCTATGAGTATTCTTTCTTTATCCTTAATCCTGTGTGCTGACAGATTCAGAGCAAATGAACAAGAACAAAATAACCTATTCCTTAATATAAATCAAGGAGGAAATGTAAATTAGTCTCCTTCATTATAGATGGTGATCAAAAGCCTTGATAAGAGTCACCTTTACCCCTGCTCCACCAGGGACCATCCTGGGCCTATTTAAGTGGGATTTAAAATTATTTACCTCAGAAGGAAGTTATCCTGTATTTTCAAATGGATCACAATGTGTAAAACATGAAACTTGGTCTTGTTGCATGTTTTTTTTTAATGAAGTTATACTTACTGTGAATAATAAAGAAGTGTAAAAGCTCAATTGTGTAAGCGCTGAGGTAGAGGTGTGTGTGTGTGTGTGTGTGTGTGTGTGTGTGTGTGTGTGTGTGTGTGTTTTAAAAGAAAAACTTCTCCCTCTCCAATAGACTGACAGTCTTCCACATGCTTTTCCTAAAGCCTTTCAGGAAAGGTTCCCTATGCCAAAGCCAGGCTGAAATGTTCTTGTTTTTCTCAGGCATTTTTCTGGAAATTTGAAGCACTCCACACTTTTTGGGTAGATCATTCAGGATTTCAGTCATTTCCTGCCCTGAAATAGTTTCCTCATGGCGTCGTCTTAGAAATTTTTGTCATTGATAATTTCTTTATACTAACATAACCAAAAAAGCCATAATTATAAATTCTGTGGTTATAAATCTATGGATTCCACAGGACAAATTCAGCTAGTAGCAGCAGGAAACAGAAGGCGTACTCAAAGGATTTAACTGAAGTGGGTTTAATAAATAAATCTCTTTAAGTATGTGCTTGATCCACATGTAGTTTGGCACATAGTAAGATTAGACATGAATAACCAAAAAGCATCAACTTGGCTGCAGTCTTCTTAGAATCTTACAGTAAATGTGAAGGGAGAATATTTTACATAGAATTTTGGAAAGGAGTATCATCTTCATCTGGACTCGTAGTCTGCCTCCAACTGAAACCATGATGTTAAAAAGGAGGAGGAGGAAGAGCAAGGAAGGGGAGGGAAAGGGGGAAAGGAATCTTAAGCAAGACTTGTTGAAAAAATAACGACTTTTTCAGTGCTACCAGAGGAAAATACCTCAGGTGCCTCAGGTTACCGGATGACTCCCTGGTACAGGGGCCTCTGTTGCCTTTGCTAGGGTCTTACTTTGCATGACTTACAGTTTATTCTCTCTAGTAGGAAATTTAATGGCCTTGCCCTGTCTAAAACCAGATTCCTTTGTTAGTATTGATCCCATCAGACAAAACAGGTGAATACCCCCAAACTTCTCTGATAACTCACCGACTTTCTTGAGTATGGATTTGCTTTAACAAACTTGCCAATTTACAGGAACTATGTATTGTAAGTGATATTTACCCAATCCCTTTTGCTTATTTATAAGCTCCATCAGTGTGGGGGCTGGGTATAATGCCTGTGGGCTGGTTCAGTGCCAAGACTTGATATATATATATGTATATGTTTGTTTAGCCGATGAAAGATCATGTCTATTGTTTCCCCCTCAAGATGAAGGGCAGTACTAGACAGTTAAGAGATGTGGGTGAACACCAATTTATGTAGTGATTCAGATGCTGTATGTAGTACCTACGTCAGATTTATTTAAGTATTCATCTTCTAAATCCCTTCTCCTGGAGATACTAGCTGTAAATATAGGTGAAGCACACATTCCATGTACTTCTGCCTTCCCTAAACTGCCACTTTTCTATATAATTTCAGGTCCCAATTTTTCACCAGACCTAGCACTTAATCCTTAACATTGTTAGTACTGAAAACATGGTTTATACATATTCCTGGCAAAATGATAATAGAACCAACAAAACACATTTGCTTTCTATCTATTTAAATTATAATTTTGGGGCGCCTGGGTGGCTCAGTCGGTTGAGCGGCCGACTTCGGCTCAGGCCATGATCTCGCGGTCTGTGAGTTCGAGCCCCGCGTCAGGCTCTGTGCTGACAGATCAGAGCCTGGAGCCTGTTTCAGATTCTGTGTCTGCCTCTCTCTGACCCTCCCCCATTCATGCTCTGTCTCTCTCTGTCTCAAAAATAAATAAACGTTAAATTATAATTTTGACAGTGTTTCTCAATACTGGACATTGTTGGACTTTGTTTCCTTGAGTCTGAGAGTTTTCAAGAAAAATTACATTTTAGGATAGAGAATTTGAAGCATGGATTTCTATTTGGGCCATCTTTCTTTCCAAAGGAGTAATTTATGGAAGTGACTCATAAGGAAATAATTTTAAAGGCAGTGGGTATTTTTGAATGATTAGACCTCATTTGCTTGGGTTTATCTGTTTTGGGATCGGAGGAATCAAGAACAGAGGACCTCCTGAGGCAATGTACAGACCTGTTGAGCCTTGTAAAATTGCTGGAATCTGTCTGAGTAATTAGCAGCTTTGCACCTTTAGAGGGAAACTAGGATTTCTTTGGGTTGAAGCATGAGGCATGCAAATGTAAGAGAAAGGCAGGGACAATACTTGATGAAATAGTCGAGAGGTAGCAGCCCAGAGGGGTTCTCTTCACTGTAATTCAGGGCCAAAATTTCTTCTGGAGTTTGGTAAGAACTGGCATTTTTAAAAGAGCAGCCAAGGGGTGCCTGGGTGGCTTGGTCGGTTAAGCGTCCGACTTCGGCTCAGGTCATGATCTCGCGGTCCATGAGTTCGAGCCCCGCGTTGGGCTGTGTGCTGACAGCTCAGAGCCTGGAGCCTGTTTCAGATTCTGTGTCTCCCTCTCTCTCTGCTCCTCCCTTGTTCATGCTCTGTCTCAAAAATAAATAAACGTTAAAAAAAATTTTTTTAAATAAAATAAAATAAAAGAGCAGCCAAGGCAGAAGGCAAGAACAGTGCACTAAAAACCATCCACTTCCAAGAATGGACCATTGAGGTCCTGCGTGTACTAGTATGTCCAAAAGTAAAAAGAAAAAAAGGATATTAGGAGAAACAAATCATTTTACCAGTGCCAAGTTCACTTTGTTCCAGAAACTAGGATATTTCTTAATATCAGTTTCATAAAAACTGAAATAAAAGCCAAAAATGAAACAATGGCAATTACTTTTTATATGGATTCTAGTCATCTTATTTCAGGCAACCAGTATATTTTATTCATGCCTAGTTCTCTTTCAGTCTTTATTTAAAAAGCTATGGAATTTAAGATGGTCTTTCATGGGGAGCAAATTATTTTAATTCTTTTAATATTCATAAAAATGTAATAGTTCTAAAGTTTAGTACTAAAAGTCTTTATTCATTTTTTTCTCTTATGAGTTACCAAAGTAACCCTGCCGTCAAAATATTTCTGTATAATGAAGAATTATTTAGTAATGAATATTTACTGCTAATTGACTATTTTGATTTGACATACTTTTAAGTAATATTGATTTACTTTAAATTCCCATACAGTTCTCATCATCAAAGTATAAATGAATTAACCAATCACGATGAATATTTAATAAGTATGGAAAGCATTTATAGGAGCCAGCTATGACTTTCCTGTTTGCTTAATAAGCATCTACACAGGTCATTTCATATCATACATGGTAGCTTATAATAATGATCATAGTTATAATCTATGACTTGAAAGTTAAGGGAAAGTTTCTAATTGAATATTATTTTCATTTTACCAGTTTAGCACAGACAGCAAGATATTGGATTAATATATTTTGGGTGGGTATGTATGGTAATAAAACAGGATCACTTTTTTCTGCTCCCTTGAACTCCAAAAGCCAACTCTGTTACCTCTCAAACTCTATTGACCAGTTGATAAGCCAAGTAATCGAAAACTGGATGTGGTCAGTGATATTCAAGTAACGTTTTTTTCCTAACACAAACACCTCTGAAGAGTTCACACTAATGCCCCCAAGTTGCTATGTGAACATTTTATTACTAACTGCATGAAAAAATCTATAGACAGTTTTGACCCAAAAGGATACTACCTAAAGTGTTAAAACAGACAAATCTTTACATGTTGACAACATGAATGTTACAGGAATATTTGTGGTCCAAAAAGCTTAGAAGATTTTGCCTTAAAATATGTTCTATGATAGCTGATATTTTCTTTGTTAACACAATTGGCCAAAATATGGAAAATAAAAGGAGAGGCATCCCCAGGCATTAACCCAGAGCCTCCTGAGCCGTGCACGTGTGTGTGAGTGCACGTGTGCATGGCTCACTGCATGGCTTCTCTTTGCCATCATTGATTTCCTCCTCCTCATTAAACACTTATTGATTCCTGTCTTCCAGATGACACAGGCTGTCCCAGTAGTCAGTCAGTGTCTCCTGTGAAGACACCCTCGGATACCGGAAACAGCCCTGTTGGCTTTTGCCCTGGAAGTGATGAAGACTTTTCCAGAAAGAAATGCACAGTTGGAATGGTTAGTGAAGGAAGCATCCAGTCATCTCGATATAAGAAGGAACCAAAATCAGGCCTTGTAAAGCCAGGTAAATGCACTTACTCTTAATGTTTTTCTCAGAACAATATGACTGGGGTGATTTCACATTTGAAACAAAGCACTTGTATATCAAGACAAAGAATACTATATTGATGTTATACCCACTACCCAGAAACATCTCTCTCTTTTTTTTTAAGAAAGTGGGCAGAGAGTGGAATATTTTGTGTACTTATTGTTAATAATTGAGTAAGTGTAGGGACATATGTGCATTATATAGACATAGAAAAAAGAGCAAAGTTGGAGAAATGTAAACTGGATGGTCTAACACATTTATACTATGTAATTCTAGCAGAAATTATACAATGAAATTACTTGGAACCACTTAAAGTGCCTACAGATTATGAAAAGAACAGGTTATCTCGATGCAGATCTATAGGGCTGGGCATACTTACTGGCCTAGTTATTTTATTTGCTTTTAAAAATTAAATATGAATATGATGTTATATGTATACATATAGATGTTCAATATTGTAAAATATGAGATGAAATGGAGATTTTTATTACAATGGGTGAGACACCATGAACACCAGAAAATGTCAGTTCTCAGAATTTGCAATATATAAATAAATATTTTACATCCCAGAAATATATACGTTATATGAATAAGTACAGTTTTAGTAAAACTAAAGTTATAACTTTAAAGTAAAAATCTCTGAGCGTTGGCATTGAGAGCTGCCATATTGCATTATTTTCTTGGACACCCACAGTGAATGCTGTACGTATTTATGAGACTGAAAAGACAGATTAATGACTTATAGGAGTCCTCATTCTTTACGTTTGTCTTCTCATTTTTGTTTGGTGATGGCATTATTGTGCAAGGAGCTATAGACAGCTTTATTTCATTGGAGCCAAGGCTTGGTCCTGTGTCCTCTTCCATCTCTGTCTGCTTTTGTTCTTCCTGAATAACTGATTTGCTCAGCATATCTTAATGGATTATTCTTCATCTTGCGTTTGGTCAACCAAAGACAATGTTGTTTAGTCTCAGAATACAACTTAAACGGTGTGAAAAAGAAATCCCCTTTCTTAGGCTCTTGATAAATGGTAGTCATGATGAGTTCGTTAATAGTCTTTTGCTTTGAAATAATATGAAAAAGAAAGGGGGAAGTCAGAATATAAAAGGGAAAGATGGTTATTGTAGAAAAAGTGTTGGATACCTTCAATGCTTAAGACAGAGACAATGAGTTAAAAGAATGTGATGTGATTAGAGCCAGCAAATAAACCATTACCTTGTGTACCCAAGGACAGGAACTACCCCGCTCCCTCCTCCAGCTCAGTGGTTCTTTTTAAAATTGAGATATAATTCACGTACCATAGTATTCACCCTTTTAAAGTATACAATTAACTGGTTTGTACTTTATTCAAAAAGTTATGCAAACATCACCACTATCAAATTTCGGAACATTTTTATCATCTCCCAAAAGAAACCTCCTACCCATTAGCAACTACTCTCTGCTCTCCCTTTTCCCCAGACCCTGGCAACCACTAACTTACTCTGTCTCTGTGGGCCTGCCCATTCTGGACATCTTATATAAATGGAATCATACAGTACATGGCCTTTTGTATTTGGCTGCTTTCGCTTAGCATAATGTTTCACAGTTCATCAATGTAGCATGCATTAGTATTTCACTCATTTTTGTGGCTCAGTAATATCCCATTGTATAGCTATACCACAGTTTTAAGTGGACTTTTTTTGGAGCAATTTTAGGTTTACAGAAAAACTGAATGGAGGGTACAGGGTTCCCATCTACCTCTTCACACCTGCCACCTCCAGCTTTTTCTTTATTAAAGTCTTGCTTGGTATGGTTATACATTTTGTTTATCCATTCACAGGTGATGGACATTTGCATAGTTTCTGGATCTTGGCTATTATATAAATGCTATGAACATTCATGTAACAGTTTTTCATGAATATGCTTTCGGTTCTTTTGGGTATATACCTAGGAAAGAAATTGCTGAGTCATATGGTAACCATATTTAACAGTTTGAGGAACTGCCAAAGTTTTCCAAAATGACTGCACCATTTTACATCCCCACTAGCAATGTATGAGGGTTCCAGTCTCGCCACATCTTTGTTGACAGTTGTGACTGTCTGTCTTTTTTATTATACCCATTCTAGTGAGTGTGAAGTGGTATTTCATAGTGCTTTTGATTTACGTGGCTAATGACTATGAGCGTCTTTTCATGTGCTTATTGGCTATTTGTATATGTTCTTTGGAAATATCTTCTCAGTTTTCTTTTAACCAGGGAGTACCCACCCAATAGAATCTATTTCTCTAACATATGGGATGTAAGCTTAAGAGCAGGAGCCTTGTCATCCTCTTTTTATATTCCTAACACAGAGTCCGGTGAATAGTGGGGGCTCAACAGCAAAGGTAGGCTGTGGAATTGAAAAGATAAAATGGTGCAGGAAAGAATGCCAGCTGCGTGAATTGAAAAAACAAAAACAAAACAGTGATTTCACTGTGCAGGCATTGTATGCAACGTGTGCAGGGTTTGGATGCAACGTGAAATTATTTCATTTTGGTTTCCCATCCCCCCCTCCCTACCTCTCTCCTCATTCCAAAAACATTTTATAGAGGTAACAATACAAGGAAAGAGTAACACAGGAGACAAGTATGGTGCAGCAAGAACAAACTAAGATTAAATGGGCATTAAGATTATCATTCCTTGGGGCGCCTGGGTGGCGCAGTCGGTTAAGCGTCCGACTTCAGCCAGGTCACGATCTCGCGGTCCGTGAGTTCGAGCCCTGCGTCAGTCTCTGGGCTGATGGCTCGGAGCCTGGAGCCTGTTTCCGATTCTGTGTCTCCCTCTCTCTCTGCCCCTCCCCCGTTCATGCTCTGTCTCTGTCTGTCCCATAAATAAATAAAAACGTTGAAAAAAAAATTAAAAAAAAAAAGATTATCATTCCTTGTTTCAATAATCGTAATAAGAATAATCATACGTTACCATAAGACTTAAATCCGTAAGTGTGTGTGCAGGATTCATACTGAGCAAGTCCTTAATCCTCCAGTAGTAGGTACCCACTTGCCAAAGACCAGCCACTTGCTTGCTGAGAATGTTTAAGGCCGTAGGTCATCCTGAAGAAAATGCATATAATTAAGAAAAAGAAATAAAGGGAGGGAAGGAAGGAGGAGGAGGGAAGGAAGGAAGGAAGGAAGGAAGGAAGGAAGGAAGGAAGGAAGGAAAGAAAGATAAAAGGAAGAAAACAAGAGCAGTCTTCATGTTGTTTTGTTCATGGATCCTTTGGGAATCATGAGGGCTATGAACCTATACTCCAGAAAAATACCCATATGCACAAAATATCACTTCCTATTTCTGAGGTTTCTTAGACCTCCTTTATTAGAAATTATGAATCCTGGTGTAATGACCCTTGCCCAGAGGCAGAGCCCGAAATACCACTTTTGTCAAAAAACAACTTTTGTCACCAGAATTCTGATTTACTTGCTCATAGGCATTCATATCACCTAAACAATCTTTATCTTAACAATGTTTTTATTTATTTGCATTTAACCAAGGTCAGAGAGATCCCTAAAGCTTATTTCTTAGTTGCCTAAAATTCCTAATGTCATCAGCGAAAAAGTTGCTCAAGCCTTTGAGTGGGACTCAGTTCTGTACAGTAAGCTCTTTGTAGAAAAATCTGCACCGTGACCTATAGTTCTCTGAACTTTCGGCAGAATAAACCTGTCGGTCTCATAAATATGAAGAGAGGAAATCCTGGAAACGAGGCCCCTGGATGACTCCACAATTTATAAAATGCAGAGACCTCATCTGTTAAACCACAAGAAGATTCTGCTCTCAGGTTAAAACGTTCCGCCTCCTCCCTAACCCCAAGTGACAGTCTCCCCTCAGCTCAAACCCATCTTCAGCCCTTGATGTGTGCTCTACTTTTTTTAAAATAAATCAACTCATTAGAACCAATACCAATTTATTAAAATAGCAAGCAATTAGTGTCTCTTCTACAGATGTTCCAGGACTCTTTAACATTAAATAACCCAGGCCCATTTAATTTTAGGTCCGTTGTTCTAGATTCTGGAAAACTGCTATTCACCTCAAAAAGGAGTTCTTGAAATGCCCCTTTAGTCATTTAGATAAAGAGCTAATAATGCTCACTGAGTATCCGATGCAGAAGGAGAAGGGAAATCTGTCACAGGATGCCGGGAAAGGCTTAGAAAGGTGAGCTGAGCAAGCCTGCACCTTGCCAGCTGGGCACCGTGGCACACACAGCATGAAAGCCCTTCCTTCCTCCAGGACCTGTTCAGGAACTTCTTGGAGGCAGTGAGCCTTCTGTCATTTTGGCTTCTATCACTTAATGCCTATGCACATTTAATTAAAAATTGCCACCAAAGAGCAAAAGGAGACATCCCTATGGTCCAGTTGGATAATGGCTTTGCATTTTCATGGTTTCCTTTTATCTACAAGTCAGTTCAGCAAACATTCAAGACTGAATCCCCAGAGCCTAATGCAGCGCCTGTCTTTATAGGTAGGTGTCCAATAAATATTTAAACGAGAAATAGAGTGTACACTCTGTGCAAGGGATTATGTTTGGCATGGGAAGGGCATCAGAGGGATGTAAAGAAGACCTCAGTGCCATCCCTGCTTTGTAACTGAAGACAGAATACCGTGTGATAAATCTGGCCCATAGTGCAGATCAGAAGGAAAGAAATGAAGGCATTTCGACTGGGGGCTCTGAGGAATCTGCCGTGGTAACAATTCTTCTCCCAGGTGCTCCTCTCAAGTTTGGTTTGCAGAAAAAGAGAAGAGAGGGAAAACAAACCACCAGAGACTCTTAACAACAGAGAACAAACAGGGTTGATGGAAGGAGGTGGGTGGGGGACGAGCTAGATGGGTGATGGACCCTTGTCCATGAGCACAGGGTGTTGTAAGTGAGGAGTCACTAAATTCTACTTCTGAAACCAGTATTGCACTGTATGTTAACTAACTAAAATATTTTAAAAAGTAAATTAATTTAAAAAAAAGTTTGGTTTGCAG